ATAATCTAGTCTTCAAGTTCATTTCTTTACATTTTCGTCTTTTTTCGTTTGATTTTGGCATTCTACGACATTGGTATAGTTTTTATTAATTTTTTTTGTAACTTATGGTATATTTTTGCTCATTTTGCAACTGTTTTGTACGATTTACAGTATGCTTGAAAACATTTTTTTTTTGGAAACGGCCGAAAATTCATGCGCGCGGATGTCATCCATATAATCAAATCAACATGGCCTAAGTCTAACATGAATGAATTGTTCAAGAACCACAATTCAGCCTATGTAAGGCTGCCAATGTTTTTTATCCTCAATAAACCATTTCATCATCATTGCAATTATGGTTTTATGGGTAGAGTGTTCGCCGGTTAGCACACGATTAATGCAATATTTAAGGTTATAGACTAAATAGACTATAATTTTTTTAACTCCTTTTCAGACGTTCCGGTATCGGTCGTTTTTTTTTTTTGTCTGATCAAATGTAGCCCCACCATCCCCGCCCCAAATAATAAAATACGATCCCAGAACGTCTGAAAAGGAGGCTAATAATTCTTACCTGTGGCCATGAGGGCTGAAGAGGTCGTTAGAAAAATCAGGTGACTGAGTCGTATCATTTCTTGGCATTTTCACAAGCCGATATGGTAGATTTGGTCCTCAATTGTGATCTATTCTGGAGGCGACAGACATGTATATCGCACTCAGCAAACAAGATGTAAATAATTCCACAGACGGAATCAAAGCATCTGTATTGTATGCCATACACATACAAACAAATACATTGTAATGTGTGAACTGACACTGACAAAAGTTTTTGAGTGACATGTACATGTGTAGTCCTGCCATAGCTTGTATTATAGAATAGTGTTTTAATTGTGGTAAATCAAATGTTTCCATACATTATAAAACTGTCGAGAAAAGGCATTGTCTTTTCCATATTGTTAAAGCGACTTCAGCCAAAACTAACGCAAGGTCGCACAGAGCTCGAACGGATGTGGGGTCAAACTCGAACCAATGACGCCGTTATCTGTACAGGCTGGAGTAGGGGCGCCCTCTGGCGTGCTGAAGGTGAAGGACTGAAGCAGGTGGAGAAGAACAGGAAAAGTTCCAGTCTGGCCAGCTGCTCCCCAGGACAGGCGGCACGTCGGCCCTTTAAATTTCACATTAAAGCTACAGTATGTAACTTAAGTGCAATACAAAACGTCTTTTCTTTACAAAGTAAGTTCAGTAACCTATACTCGATTGTAAATACGTGTTTTTCAGGAAGTTGAGGTGCCAAAATATGACGCCTTACAAGTGTGTTTGTTTAAAGATTTGAAACACGGATGTCAGCCATGTTTGGTTGCGTTTGTGGTGGCACCAGAAACTGTGTGCGCCTCGTGTGGGCTGTTTTAGCACCAACTAGAAATGTCAAAAATGTGTTGCACAATAATTGCACAAATCTGTTGAAAACTAAATGGCAATTACAAAGATATTTCTTTAAATAAGAGATGTCAATTTTTGTGCAAAATGTTACATAATGCCCCTTTAACACTTTCACAGATGATAAGTGTTGACTTGTTCTGTCAATAAAGAACGACAAAACGTAAGACAAGCCAAACGACACACCACAAACATACAAACATTCACAAGCAAACACTTCAAACATAACAGTTCGGCAAATCTTAAATTCACTTTAGCTAAAAAGGATTGTCACCTATAATACTGTACTCGGTTGGGTTAAGGCGGCCTAGGCTGATATTCATGTTCGAGTTCGGGCGTGTGTCTGCACGATTGCCACAGACATGTTTCGAACCCGAATCATGTTCCACCATGTTCGATATGACGTTATTCGAATAGAACGCGTGTTCGAATTCGGGGTTACCGGCGGTCATTTGTATGTTTCCGCTGTAAACCCGCGTCGTTACGCATTTTATTCACGGAGTATGACTTAAACGGCTTTACGCGCAGCTGAAAACAGCATAATTGATCTGTAGAGTAATCCATGTTTACGTATTATCACTTTCTTATTAAATTTGTCCGAGGCTATTTTGCATAAATTTGGATATTTTCTTATTACCGATTTTTCAAACCAAATATGGCCCAAAATAGCTGTTTCTTGTGATTTCGACCCAAAACTAAAACAAAATACCCATTTAAAAAAACGTCTCCGACAGAAATAACCCGTATGGGTTTGGCTCTCATCTTGTAAAATATAACGATGGATGGTGTTATTACCACCTGCGCGTAGATTTATGAAATAAACGGCTATTTTTTTAGCCAAAATGTGTATTTTTAACCCAAAATCCAGGTGAAGAAAAACTTTTATTCAATGTGTTTCAAGTAGAACTAAAACTGTGTGAAGTTTCGCCACGGCGCGACCAAGCTATCGAGAGTTACGGGCATATGTATAGAATACTACTTTCCCATAAGCCTAGGCAGCCTTGACCCAACCGAGTAACACTGCATAAAAGCAGCACACGTTAAGTAATGCGTGAAAATACCTTTCCTTTCCTCGGGTGTACCTTCACGTGTGCTTTCATTAGGTGTGCTTATTTTATAATAACTTTAAAGATAGCATTTCGTACAGTGTAATGTTTTCTTATAAAACCACAAATAGGAAAAACAACCAACTTCGGCGGAAGTCAAGAACCCCATCTCACATCAAAGACCATAAAACTTAATGGTTTCCCGGAAGCAATAAGAACTAAAACAATCTTAAGAGGTCCCAGGGGGGGACGCAATGATTGAAATGTAATGAGGTGGAGATACGAGCATTTTCCCGCCACTTTTAAACTATTTTAAAACACGGGACAGTTGGTAAGAAAATATCTTGCTAACTGCATGCTAAGACGTAAGGATTAATGAAAATATACAATGACAAGGAATATTCCATTACCAATTTTATTTGCATTTTTCTCGCGCTTTTTTTAACAATGTTAAGTCTGTTCAGTCATTCCGATTCATTGATCACGATCTCTTTCTTCTATCTCTTTCTTGTACAGGCAGTATTGATGCATTTCTATGCATGGCGTTAAGTTTATAATGACTACATATGTTTACTTATCTGCAGTGGCACCAAACAGCTATACCTAAAACACAATAAGCTAGTACATCTGCTAATAGTCATTTATCACGATTTCTTTATCAGATGTTTCCAGGTTTCTACAACATCTCTTGCACACGATCAGTACAATTTCTTCATTCTAGATCTACATACAGAATTGGTCCATTCCTATGCGTGGCGTTCAGTTATAATAGCTACATATATCTGCAGTGGCACTCGAATTCGAGGTGCTCGACCTCAAACAAAGTAAGACAACTGCTAATTAATAAGATTGTCATAGTCTCTCGCTCCGATCCACGACATGTTTCCTCGGCCTCGAACCATCTCCAGACGGTGTACTGCTACTTCCCGAGGCCCTGTACGCCACACAGCGGCAACATGCTCCCGATTTGGCCGGGTAAAAAAAAAATAACGAAACGCGGAGACGTTGGCGTGAACTTTGAACCTTGAACTTTATTCTTCACCTTTGCACCGGTGGCACAGACGGATAAATCCGTGTGCAGAATACATGTAACCATAACAAACAAGAGTTCCACGATCTCATACCTTCGCCAAATGATGTTAACCCTTGCGAGTGACAAATTATACAATTTTAATAATTGATTTTGTAAATAAGAGCCTCATTTGCATGGATTATATCAGTTGATCATATTCTTCACCCAATGACAGCCCTATCTTAACAAAAAGGCTATTATAGCACTTCCTCATAAATTATGCAAATCATGATTTGAATAAATTATGTTTATTGCTGTTCACCTTCACTTAATTTCCAAATGTGGCAAGTATGAAATTCGGGGTGCAGCAGTTACAACTATATATAAGAATTTGCCATTAATTATGCAAATTAGGTCCTCCTTTACATAATCTATATCCTCAGATGTTTTTCTCGTTCTCAAGTAGATGCCACAAGTGTTTCATTGTTCTATTATCGAACAAAGCAGATTTATAGAATTTCCTCATTAATTATGCAAATTAAGTCCTGATTTGCATAATTGCCCTTTGATTATGTCAAGCATCACTTCAACTACCTACATACCAAAAATCACGACAATACGTCAACCGGTTCTTGAGTTATCGCCCTTCAATTTTTTTTCAACAAATGCTCCTGCAGGTTCAGAACAAGGCGCTAGGGGACCCAAACTCATGTCACTTCTTCCCTACCCCAAGAGCTATCTACCAACCAAAATTCGTGACCCTAGCATGTCTAGAACCGTGATGAGATACTCCAAAACCGGAAGTTCAGCTGCAGTACCTAGGAAAGCCGCCAGGGGCCCAAAATCTAATCATTTCTAGGTCTCATAAAGTCCTACCCACCTACCAAGTTTCATTCCAATCCATCCACTGCTTCTCGAGTTATCTTGCTAAACCACACACACACAAACACACACACACAGACAAACGCTGCTGAAAACATAACCTTCTTGGCGAAGGTAATTATAACAAATTATAACAAATTATAATCAAGTGTTAACTAACTAACATAAAAAATAATAGGCTAATTAGGCCACAGCAAGTAAATTTATGGATGACATCCTCTGCAGACTCCAAATCTAATGCGAGCGGGACGAAAAAAAAAAACAAAGGCGGGCCAAAAAAAACAAGGTTCCTACATTATAAAATTTGACTCAATCATTGTACGAATGCCTTTTATTCGGTGGGAACATCACATATACACAGCTAGCATCACATATCATTGCATCAAAGTAAGGCCACAACAAGTAAATTTTATGGATGGCGTCCTTTGGAGACCCTAAATCTAATGCGAGAGGGCGAAGAAAAAACAAGAAGGGCCCTAAAAAACAAGATGCCTAGATTAGAAATATACTAAGAGACGACAAAACTTAGCCTGTTTACCAAAACATCGAACACTTCAAGGGAAAGAAATATTTAGCCTTTGCCCGCAAATACTAGTACATGTACTGTTTATCAGAGGCGCCTGGCGGAATAGAATAGTACTGCAGTTTGAAAGAGATCGCACACGGACCTCAGCTCGTGATTTTGATGCTTTTCATCACGACTTGCAGTAAGTATCGAAGTATATTTTATGCCCTTGGTTTTATACCAGCGTTCTTGACAAGTTTGTCTCTACACTGTAGTGTCTTTGGCTCAGTTTTGTGAAAGAAACTTGATCGCCAAACCGAAATCGGCAAAATTGGGGGAGGGGGGCGGCGACCAAAATATGGGGGAGGGGCGACAACAAAACCTTTATAAGAAATCAACACGCAAAGTACGAAAACTTCTCCCAGTACAGCAGCCCCAGTACATACTACATGTAGTAGATAGAATCTTAGTTCTGACAGCTTTCTTTTCAGCTATGTTGGTATCTGGCAAATTGAAAGTACAGAAGTTTAGCATTTGGTACAATAAGATTAAGAACAGGTATTTATTTTTAATTTAACACACAAAATACTAACGTTTACGTTAACTACTGCGTTTGACTTCTTATTTTTTAGACAGAGAAAAAATATCCCACTTTTTCTTTAATTTGTGGGTTTTCAGATGTTAAGACTAAGAGAGGAGATCTAGAGTATTAGTAGTTTTGTTTACATTTGTATATGTGTGAAAGTTTAAGGGTAGAATTTGGAGGCTGTGTCAAAGAGTTAATTTCGTTCATTGCAAATTAGAGAGAGTACGATTTGAGATAAAATCCATTTCGTCTTCCACCGTATTCAACGCACTTACATGTAACTGTTACAGCATTTGCAAATTCGTTCATACACTTGGAGCTTCTTATACCGCCCTCTCTCTATTTCGAGAGGGTGTGCACTAATTCATAAATTACTGCAGAGCGAAAGTTAAATTAACTAAGTCCAGGTATTTTTCCATATGTTGTTTTGCATTTTTTGTAAAACCTGGTTCTTTCCAGAATCAATATTTATCTTGTAGGAAATAGTTAATATGTACATGCATGTCAGAATAGTGCATACAGATTTGATGTCACAAGTACTAGAGTTACATGAATGGTGAATAGAACAAATACTAGTAAGAACACCAGTGCTGAGGCGTTACTTTTGTATATTTGCACAGTGTAAATGTAACGTTAGAGTTTCGTCAGGGGTGTCAAAGAAGTCATTCGAATTTTATGAATCTTACGGAATAAATACGATCCATTATGTTGGAAACTTACGATCCTAATACTCAGCTTTGCCCTGCTACTAGTACGTACTCTGTACTTGGTCTAGAGTACAGGCTAATATGTCGGCAAAGAAGCCAGCAAAATTGCAAAATTGGGGGTTCTGGTGTCTAGCACCAGAACCAGAATTCCTTGGCAACCCTATTAGTATTTGTACTCCTGATTAGTTATGATAATTGACACAGTCATTTTTTACACCACAGGAATGACAGGATGGCATTCTACCTCAGCCCACCAAAGGGAACCGTGTCTTTACAAAGACTGCAGAGCTCCTGTAGTCAGCGTCTGGCCTTCCTGAAGGAAGTGTTCGCCCGTGGCCGGGACTTGTCCAAACTGTCGGAGTTGACTTTTCTCAGCAGGACTGTGGAGAGGTCAGACTGTCTTATCGAGGGCTCCAGGATAGACCAGGCATCGCACTTCACACTCAGGTGATAATAATAATAACCTTTATTGTAGGGCTAAGTACAGGTGAAAAGGTAATACAGTAATATACATGTTTGTAGTACAATCCGCTCTAAAACTACTCTAATACAGAGGTTCGGCTTCTTCTTGTTTCTTTGTGATGTTAAAAATATAATTTGAAATGGGTTTGTTTAATACAGGATGATCAAAGCGCATAAGAAATTTTATAAACTATATAAACTACAGTCAATGACAAAATGTTTATTTTTTTTGTTGTTGTTTACAACTGTTACCCCCCTCCCCCTAGGCCTGATCAGATTGTAAGGTCTCAGTACGGAGTTTTGCTGTACAAGCCTGGGTGTCAATCCTATGTCTATGCTGAGGGAGTATGGAAGCACCATAGAAAAAGGATGACACCTCAGGCTAGACTCTCTCCTCCCCTGTCTACTATTGTGTTTGTAATGTATTATGAGGGCCTGCATGCCCTTTTTTGTAATGTATAATCAGGCGTTTTAGTCTTCGTAATCTGTAGGCAGCCGCCTAAAATTCATGTGATTCTCATAATCAGTACATTAGCGATAACGCGTAATTGTTCGTAATCAACTCTGAGAAATTAACGTAATTCGTAATCACTACCCCCATGTAAGCCCTCATAATATATGGTAAATATCCCATGCTGCAGGATACTGAGATTCACAGAAGAGCCATGTACTATTGTTAAGTGCAACACTGGGTCCTATTTGTAATGTTTGCTACCCACATTTCTCTGTGTATGCTACATTGTACTTCAGAATCAGAGTTCACTCCAGAAGGTGTTCACTCCCTCACACCTAAAGTAGTTACTGAGGCTCACTCCCCTTTATATAATACCAATTAGTCACACATTGTATGTATATTAACCTTATTTATGCCCAATCTGACACTGTAACCTCTTATGAAGGCCTGGTAGAGACTACATTTAGGCTATATATATCACATATGTCCTGTTGTTTCTCCCCTCCAGGCTGGCATGTTGTCAGGACGCTGGCATGTCCCGCTTTCTGTCAGACTCTGAGACAACGCTGTTCTGGTATCGCTTCTCCTGCATGGGGAAACAGCAGCTGCTACACCTGTTCCACAGAATCAGGAAGTACGAAAAAAAACTCCGCCACCAAGAAGCCGAAATCGGGAAGTCCGGCAGAGATCTGAAGACTGAAAAAAAGTTGCAAGATCTGTTGAACGTTGTGACAAGTTGTACGCGTGGCTCCAGGTTGGAACATATAGTGGAATCTTACTTACAGTATTCTCACTCACAGTGCAGTGATCTAACTAAAAGCAGAGTCAAACAGGAACAAAATTGGTCTGATAACAGGACGAACCATAACTCTCAGGATGACCATACCCTGCACTGTCAGGATTGTTGTGTCAGCAAACGACCTTCACTAGACTTCAAGGTCAAACCAGAAACTCGTCATTCAACCCCGGAGGAAAAGATTTTCCTGAAGGTCCCATTTCAGTACGCACTGCAACTAATCGCTGACAGAAGGGTGTGCCTGCACAAGGGGTTTGCTTACGTACCTTGTATCTACCTGTCAGATATTGTTGCAAACATTTTCGAACAGTGCCTTAGATTGGGTATAGAAGTTGCCCGGAAGGTGGTCCCCCTCGCGCTCAGTGATTGGCGGATGCAGGAGACATTCCGTGCGCTGTGGTTACAGTTTTTTGAGGATGGTTGCCGTAGTGATGAGAAGACGGGTGTGGTGTTTGAGAGCATTGGTCATCAGGAGGTGGACAGACTGGTGGAGTTCTTCCCACCCTGCATGGGTCATCTGCACAGGACCCTGAGACACAAGCACCGTCTCAAACACTTCTCAAGGGTAAGGAACAAGCATTTCTTAAGGGGCATGTCTGAGACATATTGCGTGTTTGTACATTATGAGACACGCTCACTGTATGTGTGTATCTGTATAGCTGGTATACTGACCTCTCATGTGTAACACATCAGGCCTAAGAAAAAAAATACTGTGTTTCCAGTTTCAGTCCTGACAAAATAGGGGTTGGTAGGTAGGGATTATCTTTCTTTTACTTTCTTTTTTTAGACTTTAATAATATGTACATGAATATAGGGGTCCAACTTATTATACAATACAGTTTAACAATTTATACTAAATTATAGTAAAACTTGCATAATTGCATGAGGACACTTTTATTTATTTTCAATGTCAATGTTAGAAAACATTTTATCAGTGTTTTATCACTCAGGTGTCAGATCATGGTAGTAGAAAAGGTTGATCAGCTAAAAAATTTATGTCCCTTGCACATGCAGGGATCCACCAAAGAAAAGGCTAGGGTTGACATAATTTTATAGGGTAGGTCAGGAAACAGAAAACACAACATTTCTTTCCTAGGCGTCAGTTTCGCAGGCACACTGTGCGGTGGCAGCTGGATATGTTGCACTACAATGTAAATGACCTATTACTCCCAACCTTTGTACATCTACTCTCATCTGCCAAATAAACATAGTATTACGGGTACGTTTATTTTTTGGGGCCCAAACATCCACCCAGTACGTTCTTATTTTGCACAGTACGTTTATTAATTATTTGAAAACCAGTAATTTTTTTCAACTTCGTGTGAAAAAAATTGACAAATCATCGACGTGAGGACGTTTATAAACGCATATTGTAGCGAGAAACTTCTTATTTTCGGGCCGGTTTTTGCAATCACCGCGTGCATAAATTCGTCTGAATGTTCTATTGTCATGGGTGGTGCTTATCAAAATACAAAATATTAAATGCTCTTTTTTTTTGTCTATTTAAATTCCTAATTGCAAATAACAGTTAAAGATTTGTGCATATATCAGTAAGGGTGCATTTTAGTACAAGAGACACAGGTTACCAGTCAATTTTGGTAATTTTCCGGGGGGTACGTTTATTCCGGGGGTACATGTATGTTTATTTGATTTTGAAGATTTGTCCGGGGGGGTACGTTTATTCCGGGGGGTATGTTTAGTCGGCAGATGAGAGTAACTCTAAAGATTGTTGATTGCTATCTAGTCCATCAGTCATTCTCTTCATAAAGCATTTTTTTTAGTCTGGACAGTTTTTGTATTCCAGTAACACCCACTGTAGATTTCTTCAAAGTTTTCATTTCCGTGACACTACCGGTAGCACCCCTTTCACAGTTGTAGGCACAGAATCTTACAGCTTGGTTCTATTATTATTTACCCTTTCCAGCTGGTCTTTCCTTGTATATGGATCCTATACATGTACATGTCCTATACAAAAGCATGTACACAATTGTGAAAAATCAGTGTTATTCAGCTTGTTGTGTGCACTGGCTACAAGGCTGATTTTTATGAA